AAAATCCACAAAAAAAAGAAGGAAAACTTACTGAAAATAAATAAAATGCTGACTCCCCTGAGGGAGCCAGCAGTCCTTATGGCACTGCAGTTTGGCCACGCATCCCACCAGGGGGCAGTGGGAGCTGCCAGCACATAGGGGAGCCCAAGATCGCCGCTGTCCCCTGTCCCTTGCTGCTGATTAGCTAGAGGACTGCCTGTTGTGTGGCCCTGCATTCTACCAATCAGCGGTGGGGAATGGGGCTGCATAAGGGACAGACAGATAATCATCGGCGAGGAGTGGTGCCATTGGGGTCCCTCAACCAATTGGAGGCATGGGGGGGAAGCCATGATAAGCCCTTGAAAATGGCAGCTGGCCCCGCAGTCTGCCCACAGAATTGGCTAGCTGCCTCATCAAGTTGGGTAGACCCCTACCCATATTGTCTATCTGACAGTAATTAATATATGATGCTTCATAGGAAGACTGAAGAAACTGTGTAATGCATAATTGTGGAATAACCTAACCATAAGGAGGCTGGACCTCTTCAGCCTCCGCAAGAGAAGGTTGAGAGGCGACCTTGTGGCTGCCTATAAGTTCAACATGGGGGCACAGAAGGGAATTGGTGAGGTTTTATTCACCAAGGCGCCCCCAGGGGTTACAAGAAATAATGGCCACAAGCTAGCAGAGAGCAGATTTAGACTTGACATTAGGAAGAACTTCTTCACAGTTCGAGTGGCCAGGGTCTGGAATGGGCTCCCAAGGGAGGTGGTGCTCTCCCCTACCCTGGGGGTCTTCAAGAGGAGGTTAGATAGGCATCTAGCTGGGGTCATCTGAACCCAGCGCTCTTTCCTGCCTATGCAGGGGGTCGGACTCGATGATCTATTGAGGTCCCTTCCGACCCTAGCATCTATGAATCTATAAAGAAAAAGTTTCCTTTAAAAGATTTCTTAAATCAAACTAAAGAATTATTAACCTGTTGTACTGTATATAACAGTAGATATTCTTATTTTTCATGTAAACATCTTGAGTGTTTTCAAAACCTGTTCAGTTTTTGTCCAGTGGTAGTGTTCTTGTTCTTCTGGGTTAGTTTTGCTTTTGTGTTTGAAAAAATAAATTTAAATATTCATTAGCTTTAACTTGGTTTCCCCTTAGTTCCACTGAATGTATTCTTGTTCTTGTGTTAGAGGCTAAATAGAAATGGCAAGTTTACCTTCTCTGTCCCACTCACTATTTTGATTATTTCAATCATATCTCTTCTCTAAACTAAGCAGTCCTAGGCTTTTCGGCATCTCTGAAACATCACTTTCTATTCCAGTCAGTTTAACCTGTCTCTAAATCCTTTCAAGTCCTTCTTTATTTCTGAGACAGAATGATAGAAAATTTAAAAAGAATTGTAGGAGCAATTGAATTACTAAATTATATGTTAATTTTACATTTTCATAATTTTGTCCCATGTTTATACTTCCTACATTTTTTATATTTTCTATCCATGGTGCTGTTTGGGGCGTTGTTTGACAAATTGTTTTATTACTTACTCATTTTACTTACTCATTTTTATATTTCATATTTATGAGATGTTCTCTTGGCACCATATCAAGCAAGTAACTGTTGGCTTCTACTCATTGAACAGTAGTTTAATTTGAGTTGTCTACAGTAGAGACTGGCAACCTTCTACTGCTGCAGGCTGCTGCTTGCAACTCAGCTCCCTTCCATGGACTGCAATCCCCTGCCCTCTTTGCATCCTCACACAAGAGGTAGTGTGGCATAGCAACCCTAACAGGATCTGTAGTATAGACTCACTAGTATAGTTGCTTATAATTTACTTTTGTGCATGTATAATTTAGAAAGCTGTTTTACCACATTTACTTTGCTAGTTTTCCTTCTCCAGTTCATCTGATATTTCTGCTCTGACTTGTATTGGATACAGAAATAGACTTGCATTTATTAGTATTCAAAGCAGATGTTTTAACTGAGTTCTCCTCAGCCCGCATTGTCTTTCCACAAGCACAAATTTATGTCAATTTTATGTGCTAGTAATCTGCTTTTGCTTTTTTTTAAATTCCATATTGCTTTAATGTTTAAGCTGTTGTAAAGTCTGGATTTCACATATGGGAGGATTATATTAAAAAAAGATTTCTTTGAAATGTAAAAAACCAAATGTGGAAATATTTCTTTTCAGTTTTAAAAAAGCTTGTATTTTACAAAAGTTAAATTGGGCTAAATTTAAGTTGACTATGTCCCTTTAAATTACAAGGTAGTTCTCTGGCAGAAGAAAATGTTTTGACATGCCAGGACTTTTCATTTTTCTTAAAGTTCCCACTCCAAACCACAAATTAATATGCATTTTATATCAGTGAAGTTAGTTGTGTTTTTTTGAGAGGGAACAGTATTGGCTTTCTAAAACTTAAACCCCATTTGACACTTTTTAGGTCTATTAATTCAGCTGTTGTTTTGGTAGGTTTTGTACAGGAACATAATAGAAATTTAATTATTTTAAGTTAATTAATTTACCAAGGACAGTATTGGATCTTAAAATCTTGTATCATGCCAGGGATCCTGGTTTTCCTGTTTAAAAATTGCAAATTCTGTGATTAACACCCCCTCCATCCCCCATCCTCCCACCCTCGTAAATTCTCTGATTACAAAATCCACAATTAAAATAAAACACCACATATTTACAGGGTGTTTATAAAGTCCATGTGGAACTTTAATAGGTTTGGATGGACATATGATAGAAGCAAATTGTACATGGTGATGAAGGCATCATTCATTAAATTTTAACGCGATACAGCTCAAATTTCTAGACTTCAACATAATTGCCATCTTTCGTGATACATAGTTCAGTCCGACTTTCCAACTTGTAGCAAACATGTTCCAGTTGCTGCAGAGTGATTTCATGAACTGCATTTGTGATCCTTACCCTAAGTTCCTCTAAAGATTGGGGTTTTGATGAGTAAACAACAGTTTTAACATGACCCCATAAAAGTAGTCCAATGGGGACAGGTTGGGCAAATGAGGTGACCCGTTTCAGTTACAGGGTCTGAAATAAAATTAAAAAAAATATGCTTACACTATGCTAAAATACTTAATGAATTATGCTTTCTATTGCCATTTATGGTTTGCTTCTGTCATGTGTATATCCAAAGTTATTAAAGTTGCACAAAGACTTTATAAACACCCTATATATAGGTATTAATTGAACACACTGTTTTACTCATATATTTACAATTTTAAGGTAATTTGGAAGCCTACCAGTGCCTCAGTCACTGAAATAAACTGAATTCTAAATAGCTAAAAATTTTGGTATTTCATTTTGAGTTTTTTTTATCATGATAAATCAGAGCTCTCCCTGCCCCCTTCGCTCACAAGGACACAGGTCCAGGCCCCTCACTTCCAAGCCGCAGCCCCCTGCCCTCCCACCCAGCTCTGCCAGAGGGGGCCCCCAGATGCTAGGGCTACTGGGACAGGTTCCGGGCAGCAGCAATGGGCACAATTCTGCATTGCCACCCCCACTGCTGCCAGGTGGGGAGGGAGCGCTTCACCAGGGAAGCGCAGGGCTTGTGGTGGCAATGAGCTTCCCTACCCAACTCTGCTCTGCCCTGCTGCACTGGGCTGCCCTCTGGATGACCTGCCCAGAGCCCTGCCCCGCTCCCCACCGGGGCCCTGTGGCTGCACACTCTGGTCCCAAGCCCCCCACATCACCCAGCTAGGCAGCCCTTCTTCCTTCCCTCCTTGTGGGGGGTGTCAGTCCATGTCCGTCCCCCCCTTGACTTAACTGTGGGAGCTGTTCTCCAGGCTGCTTGGCTACCATGTGTGCGCGCGTGTGTGTGCTCGCGTGTGCGTGTGCATGCGCGCACATGGCACCCTCCTTTGCCTGACTGCCTTTCTCTCACTCTCCCCAGCCCCTTGCAGGCTGGAACTCTGCCAACCTTCAGAGAGCTCTTTGAAAAAGCGGAAAATCCACGTTTCTCTGTTAAAATGAAAAACCTACATTTTTCTCAGTTAAAAGGGAAAATGCGTGTTGTTTTTTTTTCCATGGGAGATGGAAAACCCAGATGTGATCATGTCTGACTGTAGTATGAATTTGCACAATTTTTTTATAAGGTGAGATCAGGTGCTGGCAACCACCTCTGCTTCCTTATGTTAAGTGGTGTCTGCAGTAGGTCAGTCCCATAACACCCTTCTTCCCTTGTGGAAATGAAATTCTTGTGGTTTGCTGTTTTAGAAGAGACAGTTTTAGTAGTAGTGTTATCTTCTGGATGCCCTTGGGTTTTAGGAATATTTCAGAACAATTTACAAGAACTGGATCAGCATGTCTTTTCAATGAAAGTACTGTTGCAGCTAGTAGGAAGGAATTCTGAAGCTAGTTCAAGAATTAAGTGATTTGTTTGTGACAATTAGGGACACCTTTTAAAAAGTGAGAAGCAAAATGGTTGAGGAAAGTGTAGATGACTAGGACTAAATTTAGGTTGATAAAATGCATGAGACAAGAGTGTAAGAAATTACATAAAATTGAGAAGCGCCTATGTAGGTTTATGGCTTAATTCTACAGAATATCTCTCTTTATTCACCTTCGTTCAGGTGTATGATCAGGTTAAATGGATTTATAGCTGGTCTCCTTTAATGATTCAATTTTATAAACTTGGAATATCTGCTCTGTTACAACGTACTGTTTCGTATTTTTTTTTAAATACTGTAAATCTAAAATTGGTCCAGTCAGAGACTCTCATTTTATGACATTACAGCTTCAGACAATGTTTTACCTGATAATATCAAATTATCATAAGGATGAACTTTAACTCCACATATTTTCTGTTAATATTAGACAACCTAGGTTAGAAAGGTTTTAACAAGCAGTAACCCACGTTAACATTATTTTATAATTATTTTATATTTCAGTTCACTATTTTCAAAAGAAGGCATAAAAACTTTCCAGTATATTTCTTTCATTTTGCAATAAGTGCTTCTAAAATAATGCATTCAGGTGGTCTATTAATTTTCAAAAATCTGTTTCTTTTTAGATTGTAGACATCTCTACAGCCATGAATGATCGAACAAAGGCTCAGAAGAGGCTTACACAGAATACATTTGATTTAGAAGCCATGTGCATGTTAAACCGTGCACAGGAACAGGTGGGTTCTTATTTTGTTTTCTGTTTATTAAAATTTTGTGAACTTAGTGGAAAAGTGCAGTTGTTTGGCTCTTTCTGAAACATAAGTCTGCTTTGTGTATAGATGTCAAGAAAAGGGCTCTTGGGAGCCTAGCTTTAGACTTTCTGATTTGAAAATGTTGGTGTATATTTCTACTCTCAATATTATTATTGCGTATCCAAAAAGAACCAAACTGTCCAAGTCTAGGCTGTTTTCAGAGCTGGAAGTTAAAAGTAGTCATCTTCTATTTGTAGACAGCTGGTGAAAATGGTAATAAGTATAGATGTATGAACCGGGCAATGTAGAAATCCTTGAGATACTGTAAATAAAGAATTTCATTTTTCTTAAAACAAACAAAAAGCCTTTAAATTGGTGGAGTCCAATCTTTTTTGCAGGTGTGCCACGAATTAGCTCTGTACCCTCCCCAAGTACTACTGCAGTCTACTTCCCTGCCCGTTGCCTTGCTTTCTGCTCCTAGACCTGTGCTGCCTGCATGAGCTGCTTCTCTGCTTTCTGCTTCTGACCTGTGCAACCTGCCTAGTTCGCTGCTTTGCTTTCTGCTTTTTACCCTATCTGCATCTGTGCTGCCTGTCCTTTCCCCAATGTGTTGCATGCCACACAAGCTGCCTGTGTCACTTGTGGCACTCATGCTGCAGGCTGGCCACCCATGCTTTAAATAGCGCAACAAACTGAAACACATTATGATTTGGGATATCCAGTGCTTACTGGGCCTTTATCTCAGGTTTCTTGGTTTCCTGCATCTGATTTAAAGTATTGCCCAGAAGTAGTTCTCTTAGTCCTGAAAAAGGATAAAATCATGTGCAAGTTTGTTTTTATCTATTTTGTTCGTCTGCTCTTGAACAGTGGTCAGTTTTGTATAAGTAGCTTTTGAAACAAAGCTTTCCAGAGTTGATGAAAGTGGTTGTGTGGTAGAGTGATAAAATTGAGGAGATAATTTTATAGTATAAATAAAAAAAATTAAAGAAGTGTATGGTAACTTCTTTTTAAGAAAGATCCCATTTCATGGGGCATATTCCAGGAAATTTTAAGTTTAGAACAAAAATGTGCAGGTATTTATTTTGTTTTCATATTGTTTTGTTTTGCAGATTGATGCCTGGGCTCAGTCAAACTCTCTGCCGGGCCAGTTCACTGGAAGTACTGGAGCACAGGTTTTGTCCTCAGATGCATTGTCCAACAGTGGTCCTCAAGCCTGGATTAGAAAGGTAGAAGTTATGCAGACAGATATGTTCAAATATCACATGTTAAATACCACTGAGGTTACCAGAAGATATGAAAAATGGCACACTAAATATGCTAATATTTGCCACATGTATTTCAGTAGCCTGTATGGTAGATTGAACTGAATTAATCTACTATGTGTGTGTTCAGCCTAGATACTCATTGTTATGCTTATCTTGCTGTGCATTTTAAAGTGTTTGTCTTGATGCTTCAATCGGATGCTTGAATCATTTCTGATAGGTACACTATAGGGGTTGAAAAAAGATGTGTACCTGATACGGAGAAGACTGAACCTGTTACTGTTACCTTGTGCTGAAATAATGTTCAGAAAATTGAGTGCGATTGCAAAGGAAAAGTCTATAACTAAACTACTCTGTTTAGGGACATATCAGTCAGGGCCTGATCCTGATGTCATTGAACTCAACTATATTTTGACACTAACTTCAATGGAAACGGGATCAGACCTGCTGCTGCCCAAGATGAACTTCAGTTTGGATTGGTTCCATCTAACTACTTTCTCCCTTCTGTTTGCATTACATAATGCCATTTCTGGCAGCCAAATATTTAAAATGGAGGTTGCAGTTGGGTAAATAAGTGTAATGTCATCAAGCACTTGCATACAGTTGCTGAAGAGTAATACTGGCATATTTTCAGGGTGAAATATATCATACATTGTTCTGTTTTTTGTAAGTTTGTTAACATGACATACTTTATCTTTGTAAATGGTTGCTGAACAGATTCTCTTCCAGAGGATTAGAACTGTGGGGAATCTATGAGATTTCCATCTTTCAGGCAGAGTCTTGTGTTAAGCAGTCATTCTAGCAAAGATCGCATTTCAGTGTTTCACAAGCCTGATTATTCACAAAATCCTAGGATTCTCCAAACTATTAAGTTAGATTTCAGGTGCAGAGAGAATTTTTCAGTAAACATGGTGGTAAACTGGACCGTGTGTTCTTGAATTAGCACACTAAATAGAGTGTTCGCCAGCGTTCAAAACTTTAACTTGTTTTTCCTCTTCGTAGCAAAACAACAGAAAGGCTATTTGTTAGAGGGAAGGTTTTCTGGACTCTTCTCAATAAGATCTAATGCCCAGGGCCAACATTTAGTTTACTCTAAAGTCTAAGTTCAAAAGTCACTAATTTTGAATTGTAATATGGTTGTGGAATGTTGGCTCCAGTATTTGAAAATAGTCCATTGTTTTCCTGGGAGAGAGGCTTTGAAATGTAATTGATTCAGCTGGGAGACTTATTGGGGAGAAAAGGAAAACCTTTCTACCAAAAGTTGTAAAAGAGACCAGTAAGCCTCCTAAGGCTCATTTGAGGGTTCTCCCCTCCTGCATACCTCAAGAGAGTCCCAGGACAAAAGGGGAGAGAATGTCCCTCTTCTCTTCTCATCCATTTCTCCTGCCCTGAGGTTCTGAGATGGTCTTTTGTGGCTTGCAGTAGCAGGATTGTCCTCTAACAAAACACACTGAGTGGAGAAGGCAGGTGTGTTTTCCCTCTATCTCCTGCGCCCTTGAACTATGCTGAAGTGTGTTCATTCTCTGAAAAATATGCTCAGGTCTGAATGGGGAGAATGGGGAAAGAAACTTACTGGCCCAGGCACATGGGCACTGTTAGGAACAGAAGGCTCTAAGTGGGGAGCATGGTGTTCACTGAACCTAGAAGCAAGCAAGCCTGGGAAAGCACTCACTTCTACCTTTCTCCACCCAGCAAACATTGTGTTGTCTGCAGCCTCAGCGTTTCTATTTGGCAGACCATTGGAGTGTTACTGGGTAGAGAGTTGGGATGATACTAGTGCTGCTTACTTGCCTCCTTCTGCAGTGCTGGTCCTCTGCTTGACCTTTTTGTTCCTTCCAGGCTGGCCATTCTTGGCACATTGCAGTCAATTTTCCATGCTTTACATTTGGTCACAGTCAGAAGTCCTATATGGAGGGCATTAGGGGCTCAATTTGCTTTTAAAAGTTGTAGAAAACATGGGGCAAGAGACAACCTTTACAAAGCTTATTGGGGTGGATGAACTACAAGAAGTATCAGTCTTGTAGCTGATATATGGGATGATTTCACATAAGTAGTAAAGTGGGAATAGTGTGTTTTGAAACTATAGTATCTTTCAAGGACATTTGTGGGTTTTTTAAAACAAAAAAGCAAACCAATTATGAAATGGAGAGTTCAGTTCATGTATTTCAGGCAAGTCACCTGAGCTTCCTTATCTCAGAAATTAAACTTTTTCCCTTATGTATTGTAACAAACACGTTTTCTGGTAAGATTTCTATTTGCAAAAACTAGAATCCCTTAATCTGTATCATTCAGTGCTGCTGTTTTTAAGGCTTCCCTTTCAATCATACATAGTACATGGGAAGGCATGTTACAGACTTCTGGTTAGACGTTGGGCATGTTGAAGATGGTCATACTTGTCTTCATTAGGAACCCTCACCTCCCCTGGGGGGACTGGGTTACGCAGCACTTTGCAGAATCCAGTCTTAAAATTCCCTGGGTCAGCCAGTTATCCAAGCGTCAAAAGACATGGAGCTAGTGTTTTTTTTATATACATACTATATATGACAATGTACGTCTGACAGACTGAATCTAAGCAGCAGATTATAAAACTGATATAATGTGGTTTCCATATTCTATCTAAATGCAGAGAAGGGAAGGTATGGTGCATTGCTGTATCTCTGAGGAGAGCTAAGGTTTTTAGCATAGCTTGTTTGGGAAATACAAGCTTAACTCTGCATATACTGAGTTTCAAGTGTTTGGGTTTGGTGAGGTTTTTGCAGCTTCAAATGTTCTTGAAAAGTAATATGTATTCAGACCACTATGTACCTTCAACTTTCATTCAGCTACACCTTAGTAAATTTTTGTGGGCTTGTAAATTCTGCTACTGAAATGGTAAATGTGACCGATTTGAATAATAGACATTCCTACCAGCAGTGGCTTTTTGGTTTTGAGTTTAACTGATGTAGCTCTCTCTCAATGGTTGGGCATGGGGTTGTTGAACAGTATTCCTAAAGGTGCAAGATTCCGTTAATACAATTTGTGACCAGTATTATTTTTTTCTGCAAAGTGGTTTCTGTTTTAATTTATCACCATTGATGTAATCCGTTCACAAATGTGATATATTCTTTATGGAGGTCAGGGTTTTTTCTTTTCCCCCCCCCCCTTGTTTTCTTGCCAGTAGAGAACAGAGCTAAACAAAATGTCATTTGAGGGGACGTACATACACTATTTTATCCAGCAAACCTCTTTCGAGGCTTTCTCCTGTTTAGACTTTTCCAGAGACATCAGCTACATCTAGATCAACTAATTCATTCACAGTTATTATACAAAAAGCATTTTTTCCAAAACTAGAGTTTTGTAGGAGGAAGGGAGACAAGGCATCTGTTCTGGTGGGCTCTTCACAATGGCAGTCTTTCCCTTCCTGAAATCAGTATGACTACTGTCATCCATACTTTCATGGTATAATGTAAGATCCATCTCTTTGCAGAAGTCTTCCCATTGTCATCGTGCCCCATAGAGTGATAGAAGCAGTTCGTTGATGATGCAGAATCAAAAATATTCCAGTGCTTTATATTTTCTCTATCACTTGATTTTGTTAATGCTTTCACTTTTTTTGGCATTCAGTTGCATTACAACAGATAATGAGATTAGTATTTTCCCTGTTCTGACAGAAAAATGAAAAAAAAAGATTTTTTCCATGATCTCACTGCAAATCAATGGCAGAGTGGAATTAGACTTTTATTACTGAAAGCACTTTGTTTAGTTTTCCAGACAGTATTCTTTCTCATTTTATCATCTAAATTAAAAACATTAACATTTAGTAATTGTCCTTTAATGTTCATTTTAAAATAATTTCACTCTGAATTTATTGAGTGTTAATCATCACGATTCTTTCAATGATTTCTTTATCAGTTATCCTGATTGTTTATGTAAAAAAGGTTTTTTTTTGTTCCTCCCCCCCAATAACTGGAAGTCCTGTTCTTTTCAAGTGGAATTGGTATAAAGGTGAGCTCCTAGCTTTCTGATATTATTCCCAGAAATAAACTTTCTGGAGCCTGCAATGTAATATGCAGGTTAAACTTACTGCAAATGTTGTAGATGATTTTGTTAACAAATGGATCCCAGTTGTCATTCTTATTTGCGGTGCCTCTGTTGTGTTAACAGGAGAAAAAACAGAAAAACGTGTTACCGCTAGTCAGCAGGTAGAATTCTGAACAGAGGAAACGGGTCTGTTGAGTATAGTGAACCATGCTTACAACTGCTTTTTGAGAGAATTGCTCTTTCAATTTTTAGAAAAATTTAAGACTATTTCCTAGGTTCAGAATTTGTTCATGCTTTTTGATTGTTACTCTATAGAAGCCTCAATTTTAAATTATGAAGGGGGTCTATAGTGAGTCTTTTCCTAAAAATAGTTTGTTTGAAAATTTGATGGGGAAGGCTATTTAACGTTTAGGTGACCTCATAAAGTAATTGTTTTTCCTCTTCTTTGTGAACTGAGTACACATTGGTGGTGATGAAACAGGTGTTGATATTGAAAATTCTATCATTGCAAAGCAGGTACAAAAGAGGAATCGGAACCTGGGTGACATTGACTGGGGTTTGTATCATTCTCTCCATGGTTGCCCTTTTCTTATATGAGGTTCCTGGAAAAGAGGGGAGGATGAAACTGGAAGTAAGTAAAAGCCATTTGAGGTGTATATAGTGAGGCAGTTAGTATCAAACATCGATTTAACTCTATCTCTGTACACATGCCGCATGGTCTGCACTGATCCAAAAAAACCTCTCAAAAATACAGGAGTGGTAAACTGCCTCTCCCTTCTCTTCCTTCCATCAGAGCATCTTGTTACACTCGGCATCCACTTGCGTCATTTCTAGCTATTTGTTATATAGGTACATATTTATTACAATGTTCAAGAATCCTTAAAATTTAACTTTTCAACACCAGGGTTTGGGTGGCTTTGATGCATACGTTGTTAGTGTGTATTGGATGCCCGTGTTGAGAAGCTAATAATTTTATTAAGGACATGATTACATATTCTTAGTCCTCTGTGGAAGCAAGATATCTAATACTGCTTATATAAATAAATTGAACACAAGGAAATCTCTCCAAATCCAGGAAATGTTTTGTACTTCAAGCACAGTGTAATTAAAAAAAAAAAAAAAAACCCCCCAAAAAAACAAAAAAAAGGAAAGAGAGCATTCTAGGAACTTGTTTTGGTGCCTAGGTAAAGCTGAAACCAAAATATTAGGCATTGTGTCGTCTAACTTACTATGTGCGAATGCTGACTGCCTTATCAATACCACTGTAAATTTGTGTATTTTAAGACGAGCAATTTCTTGCTGTGATGGAAATGATTGATTTTACTCTACTTGGGTTAGTGGGTGGGGCGAAGAGAGATGATAGTTCACAGAATAACCTGTGAACTTTCACCCCTCTATATGGAAACTTGTTTCAGGGTCAAATCCTTGTAGCTGCCTTCTTGCCACGGTCAATGCCAGCCCTACTATTCACAACACTGCGGCCATCGAGGCCTAGGTACGTAAACATTTAAGGAGTTTTTAAAGTTCTTTACATCAAAACAGATTTTTAAATTTCTATTTGATAAGCTTACGACATTTAACAGCTCTTATGTTAATGATGATTTAAGCTGGTATGATGACTACTGCTGCTATACTATGCGACTAAGTACTTTTTTTTTTTCTTAAAAATATATAGAAACACCTGTGTCTGTTTCATGTGGATTTGCAGAGTAAAACTTTGTATATGCAACTTCTGTGTAATAAAATGGGGAAACATTTTTGAAATTTAAAATATGCCTAAACTCGTACGTCATTACTGAAGTGCTTGTATTTTGTTCAATAACTAGGTACACTTGGCACAAACTTGCCAGTTAGACAATTAACACTCCCTCCTTTCACAAGATGAGAAGAGATGCATTGGAACCAAAGTAGCGCGTTTAAAAATAAATGATGGTTATGATTTTATTAAATATGTATTTTCAAAGTGGGTCAGTTGCCTTTTTTGAATTAAAGGATCTCATTAAAATTTTCCTAGGCTCTTTTTAGATTGATATTTTGAAAAGTTGTGTGCCTAATGTATGTGTGTGTGTGAATTCTGGTTTATACAAGACATGCTAATGTATGTAAAGCAGATGTGTATTCACTTGAATTGATCTGTGAACTTACTAGAAATATTTTTGGAAGATCCCAGTTACTTTTTTAAAATCCATTGCTAACTTTAGGACTTGTTTTACTTTTCTTTCTTTGGATAGGATCAGTTCTTAAGAGCAGCCCCAGTAACTGGAGGAATGGGAGCTCAGCTGATGAGAAAAATGGGCTGGAGAGAAGGAGAAGGATTAGGAAAAAACAAAGAAGGCAGTGTGGAGCCTATTTTAGTTGATTTTAAGACTGATCGAAAAGGTAAGCCACTTTCTTGAAGATTTTCAGATAGCATAAAATTGACTATGTTTTCTTTTTATTGAGCTAAATAGATAGCTTCTTAGTAGCTGGAAATTTATTTTCAATTTTTATCTGTATATAAAAATTACAGTCAAAATAATGGTTTTGATTCTGCCCTCGAACTGTAGACAACCTAAACTTACTTTTGTGAGGGTTCAGTTGCAGGTGTTAGTTTCATTTAGATAAAGAGGGCTTGTCTTCCATTTAAATTTAAGCAAATATGTAAGTGCCTTACATTCATAATAGCAGCCTTGAAATTGGTAGGGCCTAATTGTAACAGGTGCTGGGTGTGCCTGGCCCTTAAAGAAGGGAGGAGGCTTTGGAAGTAGTGGGGGGGAAGGGGGGTGCTTAACTGGGAGATGTACCCAGGGCCAGAGCTGGGGCAGGCAGTCTCACCCTGGCTGCTGGCATGAAAGGAGCTCCTGAGCAAGCAGCAGACAGAGGGAGACTGTAGGGGTTAAGAGAAGGCAGCCTTACAGCTAAGGTGGAGGCTGGTGATTTAGGGATTGAGACAAGGGGTGGTGGTGGTCTCAGCTGGCCCAGGAGTTGGGCCAAGGTCCCAGTGCTTGAGACCAAAAGTCAAGGAACAGGGTCAGAGAGAGTCTAAGGCACTGGAATGCTTAGGGAGCAGATACAGTTAGGAAGCAAAGATCAGTTAGAGACAGAGGCCTGAGGCGCAGCATGTCCAGGTGATGGATATAATGAATATGACATAGGGACCCAGAGTTTGGGGATGCCTCTGGGGAGAGGCACTTACTGGATGGGATGTAGAGCATGATTGGTAACATCTGCAAAGCATGGGTGTGGTGTAAGTGGCAGTTGGAGCCATGTAATAAGCCCTTAAAGGGCTGAGTAGTGACATCTAAACAGAAGCATGGGATCAAAAATCCCTGGGGAAGCCTCTCTTTCCAAGGATCTAGCAACCACAAGGTGTAGCAGGCTAGGTGAAGTGGAGCAAGCCTGAGAAGCCAGTGCCTGCTATACTAGTCAATTCAGGGCTGGTTAGAAGTATTCATTGTTGACTCCTAGGTAAATTTTACCCAATTAGGCAGTTAAGGCAGCGTGTACCAAACTTCTGATACCTGGGGCACAGTTATTTTCTGGATTAAAATTTGTCACATGCTTTTCTGAATGTTGTGGCACCTCATTTGAAAATGACAGAGCTGAATTCAGAAAAGGTATGGTGGGGGTCTGTGAGGCTAAGAAAACTGCGAATCATGATCTAACTGGTGCCACTTGAGCGGTGGGGACAGGTCCTTAGTCTGCTGTGCCATGTTCTTTCCAGTGCCTGCCACCTTCCAGCCCCTGGTCGGTACTTCAGAGAGTATGGACAGTCCCCGCTGCTGAGGCTGCTCCTGCAGGGTCTTACATGCCAGCAACCATCCCTGTAACCCCTCCTGCCAGCCATAGTAGCATGGAAGGAGTGGAGGGGATGAACCAGGCTGCAGAGTGTGGCTTTGTCTGTGTGTCTTCCTACACACTGCTGGGAGTGTTGCAGGGTAGGGCGGGGGCTGGCACAGGGGCTGCCTGGGGTTGGGGAAGGCAGCAACAGTGGCAGCAGTCCACAGAGAAATAGTTGTATGTGCTGGGACAGGTTCAGAATGCTGGACAAGGGAGAAGAGCACTTACCCCTAATGGGATCCTGTGGTACGCTTCCATTGCTCTTATAGCACATTAGTGTGTCGTGGCACACTCTTTGGGAATCACTAGGTTAAGGGTAGTACACTTAGATTACAAAGTAGACAGTTGGGCTGAAAGTTACTCTTCACTGCAGCGGTTTATGTATGTCACAAGTTTTTGTTACGGTATAAGCAATAAGGTAACCAATTAGGACTGTCGCTGGTTTTGTAGTTAAGCACATGATGTTCTGACTCACTTGCAGGGGTGCTATTATAGTCAGTGGAAACTAGATATTGGGACTGTAAAGTGATCAACAGATTCCCCACTTGCGTAATGCTTTAAAATTGTCAGATCAGCACCAAAGATAAGATATTATAAATCAACAATTGTAAATCTTGTGTGTGGAGATAAGAAGTGGAGACTCTGTCTTACTTTTTCATTTAACAAGTATAGTAATTGGAGGGCATTTGCAAGTAATTGACCTTTTAGCAGGCTGTAAGATGGCTTTATAATTGCGACCATCTAAAAGTATAGACAGGAAAACAGTACAGACACGTATGAGCTTTATTTGGAAAGTGGCCAGACATTTATAATTGTTAATTTCCCTCAGACAGTTTGCTGAATTGAAAGTTGGGGATGGGAAGGAGGAGGAGAATGGTAATGAACTGGTTGACCTGTGCCAGGAACAAAATAAGGTTTTGTTGGTTCTCCCTCACCCCCCACTGGCAAAGAAGTTCTTTGGTCCTGCAAAGCTTTCATTGTTGGTAACAGTTTCTTCCATTTAACGCAAGTAATAACACAAGCATTGGGAAAGAACTTTTTAAAAAGTATTTTATTCAGTCTGATTTCTCTTTTCCAGTGCAGCTTTCCTAATGAACTATCTGACTGTTTCACATCCAGGCTTGATGGGCACAATTATACCTGCATGCAATGCAGCGTTGGGCACTTATAGATTCATAGATGCTAGGGTCAGGAGGGATCTCAACAGATCATCAGGTCCGACCCCCTGCCTAGGCAGGAAATAGTGCTGGGGTCAGATGACCCCAGCCAGATGCCTATCCGGCCTTCTCTTAAAGACCCCCAAGGTAGAGGAGAGCACCACCTCCCTTGGAAGCCCATTCCAAATGTTGGCCACCCTTACTGTGAAGAAGTTTTTCCTGATATCTAGCCTAACTCTGTTCTCTGTCAGTTTGTGACCATTGTTCCTTGTTACCCCAAGAGGTGCCCTGGTGAACAGAGCATCTCCGATCTGGTGCTGCATCCCCCTAATGAATTTGTAGGCAGCCACAAGATCACCTCTCAGCCTTCTCTTCCGGAGGCTGAAGAGGTCCAGGTCCCTCAGTCTCTCTTCATAGGGCTTGTCCTGTAAGCCCCTAACCATATGAGTGGTCCTCCTCTGGACCCTCTTGAGTCTATCAACATCCTTCTTGAAGTACAGCGCCCAAAACTGGACACAGTACTCCAACTGCAGTCTGACCAGCGCCCGATAGAGGGGGGGAAGGATCACCTCCTTGGTTCTATTTGTCATGCATCTGCTGATGCATGATAAGGTGCGGTTAGCTTTGATTTAGTCACACTTTTAAAAGTGTGCAGTGCTGTGTCGTGTACATCTGCATAAATGGCCAAGTGCACATCAGCGCTGAGAAAATGGTAGTGCGCTTTTGAACTAAAACACCTTTGTGTTTTGGTTCAAAAGCATGCTGCCACCATTTTCCCAGCACTGATGTGCATTTGGCCATTTATACAAATGCATGCGATGTAGCGATGGGCGTGTCAGTTTGTGTGCTGCTCAGACTTAGTTAATCGAGTCTGCTCTGGCATGCTGGATTTCTGGTGCGTTGGAGCAGACTGCAGTATGTGTATAAATGCCCCATGATACTAAGACTGTTAAGTGTCCAGGGACCTCTGAGTGGTATCTGATTGGGCATTTGGTCCTAATGATTTTTTTTTTTTTATGTATATATTAAAATACTGTACGAAGGTCTGAATCAAGATCAGGAGATCATTGTATGACATTGTAAAACAGCAAGGTGAGGGAAATTAAAAGGATACAGCACACAGACATTTTCAGGGGAACTGCTGGCACAACTGAGAAGCAAGATTTGTGAGGTGCAATCTTGTATTGGACTACTTTGTAGTTAGGGAGAGACTAGATGAGCTTTTGGGACACAGAATGCCCTTACTCTAGCTTGAGAGAGAAGCAGTCTATGTTAAATATTATCAGTTACATTTTATTTGTTTAACTTAATGTGAGCTGCCCATTTGAAATGGAAAGTGGATGGTTTGCCTATTTAGAAAAGAGAAGTAATTAGAAATAGTTACAGACCAAGTAACAAACAAATATATAGTTAAGCATACTATATTTATTTATTTGAGTTCTATGTCACCCTCCCCAGAAGGGCTCAGGGGAGCTTAGAATAACGGTCATAAAAACAGAAAATAATTAAGAAAAAAAAGTGATAGACACCTCCTAAATGCCTTCCTGTATAAAGAAATGCAAAACTCTCGAACTCTTGGTTCAGAAATTATACCTTTTATTAGACCAGCTAGAGTTTTGCATTTCTTTTTGTCTTGGACCAATAGCTACCAAATACTTTCCTGTATAAAGAGGTTTTACGATGCTTTTGAAACATGGCTAGGTTCAGGCTGTAATGAACCTCAAGGGGAAGGGAGTTCTTGAGCTGAGGAGCAACTGAGGAGAAAGACCTCCCACTTGGTTAGGACAAATCAAGCTTGGCACACAAATGGTACTTGCAGAAGGCTGTCTTCAGCTGAACTTGGCAGTTGTGATGGAACATAGGAAAAGAAGCAGTCGCTTAGGTATATAGGACCCAGGCCATAAAAGGCTTTATATGTCGAGACTACCACCTTGAATTGTGTCTGAAAGCTAATGCAGACTTTGCAGCACTGGAGTAGCGTGCTCCCAGTAACCCACGTCTGTCAGAAGGCAGGCTGCTTCATTTTCCACCAGCTACAGCCTTCAAGGGCAGTCCCACATAGAGCATATTGCAGTAGTCTAGCCTTGAGTTTACAAAAGCATAAATGGTTGTGGCCAGATCTGAATCTGAAAAACAGTTTGCAGCCTTCACACTAGATGGAGTTGGTGAAAGGCCTCTTAGCCACTGCTGGAACCTGAGAATCCAGGTATAGCAAAGAATTCAGGAGCACCCTGAGACTGGATGCGAGTGAGGAGGGGAAGCCAAATCCCATAAATAACGAAGCTGTCCCTATTCCTCCAAGGAGTGAGGTCTGCTCATTTACCATCACTTCTGTTTCAGCAAGTTTCCCTATACTGTCTAACATGAATAATGTGTGCCCGTGGAGGCTGAGGGGGTATGTGACTGCCCACAGAAGGCGGAGGCGTGGTGGCGGTGAGCGGGCAGCTCCTGCAGGCGGTGATGGCACTGGAGGGGGAGGGGGAAAGACACGCAAGTGCTGACCAGTGGTCGGCGACCACCCGCAGACACTGGCAATGGCAGGGGGTGGCGAGTGCCAACTGCTTGTAGGCACCGCCAGCAGCGTCAGTGGCAGCCAATCACAGGGGGTGCACCGCCAATCTCAGGGTTTGCACGTGCACCTGCTTGCACCCCCTACCTTTTGCCAGTGCTGTCTAAACTGGTTACCAGTTATAAAGTCTTAGAAGCACAAGAAGGGTTAACGACTTGAGCAAGCTAGGGGCTGAATGTGGGTAAAGAAATAGTTAAGCCTATTGTTTCAAAGGCTGCCAGCTCTTTCAGGAAAGATTGCATGGGTCTGAGGCCTAGCAGAAAGCAGACTGCTGATCTATAGCCATTTTTTATGCATGCTGTTCAAAATGTGCTGTAATTTTAGCTGGGAAAAGCTCAAACCCTGGCATTCCTAGAAGCTGAACAGCTATTGTACCTTTACACAATCCTCACAGAAGCTACATGTTCCATCCTGTCAGAATCTAAGATGTCCTCTAGTAACAAGAAAACAGTTGTCATACAAGCAAAATGTGAAAAAGGCCTAGCTTAGACTAGCATATTCAGTATCCTGGGGTCTTGCCAGCACTGCTCCCTGTAGTACATTTTGCATTAATTTTTAACTTGTGTAGAGGTTATTTTACAATAGCCTTTACTCTTAGGATGGATTTCCTGCTGGCATAATTTTTTCCTTTTTTAATTTCATTCCATTGCTCAGTGAGCCAATCAGGACAATTCCTTTTCCTTTCTCTTTCTCTGCTCCTTTTAATACCTGTAGAGATTTATTATTGTTAGAATTGCTATTACAGTAGTGCCTAAAGGCCACAACTGCATGGATCTTGAATGACTTGTGCTTTCCCTGTCATTGCTTGGCTGAAAGGAGACAATAATTCATAATGAATAATCTGATTAATTTTGCCTCGCCTTCTATTTTTCAATTTAAAAATATTAAAAATTGCCTCAATAATTCTGAGTAGCTCTTGGTCTGTGTCTTTTTTGTGAGCAGTTAGTTGCAAGTACCTGATGTTCATTCACCATTCCTGATGCAAGTTCATCTGTAGATACTTGAGAACCTTGCAGCTATTCTTGAGTTGCTTTAATTTCATCCTTATTTTGCTGTTTGGAGTCTTAGCAGTATGGAGAATACTGTATCCCTTCATGTCTTGCCATGAACAGCTAAGGCCAGAGTAACAGAGAAGTGCATCTTAATGTTCGGCTAATCAGACATGGGTGCCTAACATATTAAGATAACATGAATTGGAAGAAGCAACAAGAATAGTTCATTTGATACAGCGGGAGGGCAATAACAGTATGGGATGTATTGGTAATAGTATTTTAAAAGGGCTGAACATGTGCTGCACAGACCGGACTATTTCAGGGAAAGATTTGAGAACAACCGTGGACAGTGTAGGTGTGTACCACTGAAAGGCAATTTGGAACTTTAATGAACGGTATCACAAGACCAGGAATATAGATAGATAGTTTTCTGTTTATTGCCCATATTGAAAGAAAAACAATTTTAAAAGTCTTGCATTATTTTAAACAAAACTAGTGAATTGTTGATTTCTGAAAGCACACGAGAAGGGACAAACAATTTGTTTTGTTCAGTGAAAGCTATTACAGGAGACAAAGACCTGGATCCAGGGTTAGCCAGGCTCTCACATGGCCTGGCCCCTTCAGACCCACATTCTAGATCAGGGGTGATCTAAAATACAGCCCGTGGGCCACATCCGTCCCACAAGGCCATTCTGTCCAGCCCGCGGGGCCCCTAAAAAAATTTAGAAAATGAATATTCATCTGCCCCTGGTTCCTGTCATTTTTGAGGGCAGTAGGACCCAGGGGAAGCCCAGTGGGCTCCCACAACACCAGGGCCTGAGTGGGCTGCGAGCACCTGCAGCAGGGAGCACTGGCCATGGGGTGGGCAAGGGGCTGCTTTTCCCTGCACTCAGCACCAGCTTCTTCCCTGCCAGCAAGCAGGGGGTCCGGGGCTGCGGGCCACTGGGAGTGAGCAGGTGCAGGAGCCAGCGGGAACACAGGGCCTGCATCGGCAGGGCCCAGAGCAGGGTGGCAGGAGCATGGGGTCCCAGCCAGCAGATGCTCTATGGAGCCAGGCCAGCTCCCCCTTACTGGTGCAGCCCAGCTCAGCTGCACAGACCCCTGCCAGCCTGTGTCCCGCTTTGGGCCCCACCGATGCTGGCCCTGGGACATTGGTCACAAGACATTGGGACATTGGTTCCAAGATGGTGACCAGGGGATGGGGCACCTATCAAGGGGTGGGGCTACCCATGCGGCCCTTGACAGCCTGCCAAAACTGGGTGAGCGGGCCTCCACCTGAAATAATTGCCCGCCCCCGTTCTGGGTGCTGGCCCGAAGTAGCTTCCAGGCCCAAGACAGCACTTGGTAACTGAAGTCCACTGTCTTCCAGCAAGCTGCAAATGCTTTGTCCACTGCAGCTAGAGATGCAAAACCATAGTGCTTCAGTTGAAAGCAGAGCATTTCTGTGGTCCATTACATTTAGTTCTGAGCATGCCTCTTAACCTTTCAAGGGACACAGTGCCTGGCAAAACTAAAAAGGAGGGACACAGATTATTAATGCGAGAGAGTTAAAAAGCAATAGGCTATTTTCCTTCAGTGTACATGACTGTTAACTCATATTTGTGATTATTTCTGATGTAAATAATATTAAGGACATTTAAGAAACTGGCAGTTCAGACAAATTTGGTATAACATAACACTTGGAACCAAAATTCCTTGAAGTAAGCTATACTTGAGAAGTATAGCTATTAGAGTGAAGATGTGGCAAGGAGGCAAGTTAGAATAAAACATCATGAAGAGGAGGAGCCTGGAAAAAAGCTACTATCTTTCTTGTTCACACCCTTATCCCCCAGATTCAAATAGAGGTAAGAAACAAGGAAAATACAATGAAAGTGTGAAGGAAAAAAATTCTCACATGCGTGCGCACAATGGTTTTGTATATGTGCATTATATATATAAAATCATTTATTTTGGTGTATTCTTGATATTCATGCAGGTAAAAAAAAAAAATTGAGGGGAGGGGGGTTACCCTGCCACTTTGCTTTTGTACTGGGCAGTGAAATTACATTTTATTTCACATTTTTAAGACCCAGGATATAAACATAGATTGAAGGACTGGAGAGAGGGCATTTTTAAGGAGGAAATCTATTGTACAAAAGTAATCCATAAAAAACAAGATTGATGGCCACTGCCTTAGAACCGTACAGAGCATTTTAATTATAAGCTTATATCCTCCTCCTTGAGAATCAAATATATAGTACCAATGAACTGTTATATAGAAACAGAAGGAGCCTGTTTCTTTAAAATTAGTTCGTTCTTACTGCTCAGGATAAAAGTAACTGTGCCAAGGAAACTTTGCAAACAAAAAAATCTGTAACTTACTCTTATAGGAGGTTTCCCAGCAACCTTCATTGGGACATATCCTTTACATCATTGAGATGATAACCCCATGCTTTTTGTTACTTATAGTGAATGCATTGTGTTTGTCCAAATTAAATTGAATTAACTTTAAATTGAGTATAAATTTGGGCAAGAAGTGAAAAAAAATCTGGTAACTAAATTGAGAGCACAGGTCACAAGGGAGTCGCTGTAAATAGTGAATTCCTTCAAATGATTTGAATGGCACAAGGCAATGAATTAGTGTTCGTAAAAATTGAATACATTTTGAAGTGTCTAAATTTAAAATGGGAAATGTGCAAATGACTAAAATAAATGTGGTGGTGGGAAAAAGACTTGGTGGCTTGCTTCTGAATTTTACTCCAGCTCTTGGTCTGTTTTCTATAAAGGTCATATGTGACTTTTGATGCTGATCTCTGTAAAGGTATTTATGCTTGTCATCCTTTATGTTAACTCTCCGAATTTCCCAGTAGCTTAGTTACAGCCTTACAGCAAAAGTTAATGGAAGAGTGGAGAAGGAAGGAAGGGCAGGAAAAGTAGTGCTGAATAAAGGAGACATTAAAAAACTTTGAGTTGACAATTGGGCTGTGGTTGTTGTCATAGTAAAGCACATTGATGCGTGTTATTGGTTGATGGAATGAGAGATTCGCTCCTCTCGAGACATCATTGCAAAATCAGGTGTGTACAGGGAGAAACCCACAGGATAAATATGTTTTCTGTTTTGTTTAGGTCTTGTTGCAGTGGGAGAAAAGGCACAAAAGAGATCCGGACATTTCAGTGTGATGAAGGATCTTTCAGGTGAGACCTTTTTTACTCCTTTAAAATATGTTTAAGTTAATATATCTGGTTGTATCAGTAGAATTGATTTAGAAAACAAATATGTTGCTGTCTTTAAGGTAAACATCCAGTTTCTGCACTGATGGAGATCTGTAATAAAAGAAGATGGTCACCACCTGAATTCGTATTGGTGGATGATAGTGGGCCTGATCATCGCAAACACTTTATCTTTAAGGTAAGCTTGAATTCTCTTTTCTCATGTATTACGTATTCTGTTAAGATGAGGCTTTAAGTATTGCTATATTTGTGTTCTACTAGCATTCACAATGCATTAGGCACTGTCTAAACACATAGGAGTACACAATCCCTCTTATAAGGAACTACCAATCTAAACCCAGATCCTATAGGCACATTTCTGACTATCAAGAAAGAAACTGAGATATTCTTTCCCAGTTTTTATTTAAACAGAAAAACCAATTTGGAATTCAATCTTATCTCCTTATTCCCAGGAATAGCCTTAGGGGTACTACTTTTGTGGAGAAAGTGACAGGATTTATCTTTCTATTTCCAGTTTTAGCTTAGCATAACCCGCATTTACTTTCTCTTCCTGGGCTGGATCTTGCTTCTGTAAAGAATTGACAGAGAACTGGGTAGTAACAAAGTGTCAGTGACTTTTGTGGGAACAAGAGCTGCAGGTTTAAACACATTTTGAAGTTTGGCTTATGGAAGGAAGAAATTCAGACATATCCACTTTTTGCATTAACCATACAAGAAGTTTCTTAATGAAGAACTCTGTTAGTTCTTATCTCATCTTGTCAGACCTGGCCACCTTTCATATTAGATTAGAAATACAGTTCTAAACCCCTGCCTGTCTGGCCTCATGAGGTGGTCTTGGAATAACTTAGAAGTGACAAAACAAAGGTTATGATCCTGTCACTCTGCTGCATTAAGTATTCCATATTGTACAGTTCTGCTCGGTACACTGTACAAATGCAACAGGAAGCCCACCTGAGTGGAGCTTAGGCAGTACAGCAGTGAACAGGAGGAATATTAGTAATAGATGTTATACTCATCTGTGAGAACTTTCTGTATTGCATGATAAAGATTTTTAGTCCTTTCCACAGTTGATTGATAACAATTTGATGGGACAGTGGTGAAAACAACTGAGCTTTGTGTATGCAGACAGCTTTCACTGGCAGATCTGTGTTAAGAGCAAATTACAACTGGGGCTTGCTGCATAGCCTGATTTGCTCCTGTTGTGTGAGTGGTGTTGCAGGCTGTCTGGGCTACTGGACAATGAAGAGGATGCAGAATTAAGCACAACACTTCCTGTTGGTTTTTTTTTTTAAGTAACAAGCTGGAACTTTTGACATTTTCCTGCTGTTTGTTTGGTGTAATTAAATTGCAAGCACTGTGAGGCAGGGACTGTCTTCCTCTTTGTGTTTGCACAATGCCCACCAGAATGGCACTCAGCCCTGATTGAGGCCTTGATGTGGTAATTGAATAGAAATACTCGTTTACAAAATGCTTCTGAATTATGCTTCCCTCTGGATTGAGAAGGGAAGCATAGGAATATCAGTAATAGATGTTATATTAATCTGTGAGACTGCTTTCTGCATTGCATGATAGAGATCTTTAGTCCTTTTCAAAGGGAATTGAAGGCACATTCTCAAGGTACCAAGTGCACTGATGTGAGGGAAATAGATAAATCAGAGGGAGTGGTAAAATGTAGATGACTGCTGTATTGTTTGTTTCTCTTGAACAGGTGATGGTCAATGGGAATGAATACAGGCCTACCTTTGCCAGCCTTAATAAGAAGCATGCTAAAGCCACAGCAGCAACTGCGGCCCTCCAAGCGATGGGACTTGTACCAAAGGAAAGCATGGCTAATACCACCATGTTCAGGAGTGCCTCACACCGCTAGATATTGTTTTTTATATTGACATTATTTCGGATAATTTTACTCTGCACAAAGAAGGTATTTGCCCGTCTCATTTTGTAAATACGTTGGCAATTCCCATGTTGTAAAAACTGTACAGACACCCGCAAGCTTTTCTTTTGTACCATCAAAAATGTATTTAAATCATACTTAGTTTTTGGTATGTTTATATTGTTTACATTAGTGATGTAATTATTTCTTAAATGACTAAAATTGGAAGACAGACTCTGGAGGCATCAATAATCTAAACCCTTGTTTTAAAACTCATGCAGTTTCTCTTCAGTACGGAATGTTAACACTTTCATACTGTTTTATACTATGATGCAGTTGTCCCTGGTTTTGGTAAAGTTACTGTTGTACTTTTGCCTATAGCCAGTTAAAGGCTGCACAGCTTACCCTAGTCTAGAAAAGGCTGGCATGTACTGCTGGACAGATACTGGGCCAGTTACCCCTATGGGATAGTAGGTAATGGTAGCACTGTTGTACAGAGCTACCATTACTTACTTCTCCTTTTGAATTTTGTTTGGGGTTTCTCAGTGGTGTTCTGCAACTGGCCATACGGCCTACATTCTAGCACTAAAAAGATTAGGCAAAAGACCTGCCTGAAGTGGGAGGGAAGAAAGTCCAGTGATGGAACTGATCAGAATCGCAATGTGAAAGTCTCTCTCCCTGCATGTTCTGATAAGGAAATATGAAGTTGTCTATTCCAATCTCAAATTAACACACTGCCTGATGTTGATTGTATGAATGTGTGGTTAATGTGAATTTTAAACTATAACAAATCTTCAACTGGATGGGGGTAGAATGATGCTTAAATTGTTGTACCCAAGTCAGTCAATAAAGCAGCACAAGTTCATAATCTTAATCATCGGTCAAAAAACACTTAAATCTATGCTAGAGCACTGATTTAGAAGTCAGCATACCATCACGTGTTATGGGGGGGAGGAACAGTAGTGACAGCTGGTAAGAAGGCAGAACACAACCATATTTCAGTTGCTTAGAAAAATATCAGGATAACATTTTGAGTTCAGATTTTTTCATGCTTGCACCACACTTTGGGATGAGATTTCTTTGAAAGTTTAATCCAATGTTTTGGCAGTTTTTGAAAATGAAAGCAATTGAGAAAACAGGGAATCTGGTTTTTTCTCATGTGCTACTTGGTTTTAGAGTCTTAGCAGCTGGTTGTAGTAATTTTAAACTTGGGGACGAGGATGGTCTCAACAAATTTGGGTGACTTAAAAAACATGGCATCACAATGAAGCTCTTTAATATTTAGTTATTTCTGAAAACGTTAACATTTTGCATCTTACCGTTTGGTATCATATCAGATACACAGAGCTTTTATGGGACGGGGAAACTATAATTTCCTATGCAAACTGCTACAACCTATATCCTTCAAATTGCAGCAGAAACCCGGAGATAACAACATTCCAATCCTATTTCCTCCATGAACACACTCTAATTCTGGATGCTTTCACTATCCTCATTACTAAACAAGGCTTTACTGTAATGCCATAAGGGCCAAGTACCTGATCTGGGGACCAGATAACTGAGGGTCAGTGGTATACCAGAAGGTCACTTATGGTAAACTGGAAGTTGAACCTACCTATTAAACGTGATAGACAAGTTCCATCCATTTAGTTGCTCTTGGTAATGGCAAATCTGGGCTTGATTAGATTGTCTAAATTCCTACACACCACTTAATTTATATAAGGCATTTTGACAGCTGAAGACATGCTCTCAAAGAATTAGTAAAAGTACACAAAAGAAGCCTCATACCCAATACTTTATTGTGGTCTAGGGAATAATAGCACATACTGATGGGAGGGGGGGGTTCCTGTTAGAAGAGAAATTCCAGAGTTCAAATCATATTAAGACTGCAAGTTGAGGAATTTAGAAGGTATTTGAATTAATATTGTCTGTTCACTACTATCTTTTAATTACATAATTATATCCCCCCAGCCTTATTTGTTAAATAAAGTAATTGGTTGCCTCCTGTTTTGAAGTAGCTGAAAAATCTTCAGGAAGAGTAGGTAGGTATGGTACAACAGCAGAGAATGGCACAGAACTGGGTTTTGTACCTGGCACCATGCATTTCTGCAGAATTTTAGCTGTCTTAAAGCAACATACTTTTAGAGAGGCTATGAAAGTAAGAAGGGTCCTGCAGCTTGCATGAATGTGGAATCCATACCTTGCTGCATAAACTATTTTTAGAATATCAGTGTTCATTAAAAAAGTTTTAATCTTTCCTTGTTGTGAAGAAACCTTTGCTCAGCAGAAATCTTGGTCTTCCTGTGGCTGCAGACCTCCTGAACCATTCTATATAACTTTAGAAGACAATATAAATATCTTAACTAGTGAGAACATGCAGCTCTTGCTTAATTGCACTCCCAAATCACCTTTCCATGTGTCAGAAACTAACTAGCATCTATTTACCTAGCTGTCCACCCAAAAATGACATAGTAACAATATACCTGGACAGGTTAAAATAAGTATGACTTTATTAGTGATTGTGTCACTGGTCATATTTGTTCATGGTGCAAGAGTTACATTATACCTTTGGAAGTAGTGCAAGTAAAATTTAGTCTGCTGTGTTAGCATTTAAAGTTCAAACAAACTTTAAGTCCAAATACTGTTTAAGGAAGGGAATTGTCTGTTTGAAAAGGAAAAGTTCAGGCCTAAGTCACAATTTCAGAATGATGTTGTTGCACAAATATCCACGGGAAATTAGTTTAGTTATTTTTCACCTAATCAAGTGCATATGAAAGTGTAAATGGATAACTTATTATTAAAATCTTAAGTGTTAATGTTTTGAGATTACACAGCTGTAAGCAATCATTGGCACTGGTTTCTTGTAATGAAGTTTGCATTTTTCACTCAGACTGGACATGTCTTGCACTAATTATGGCTGTTTCCAGCATGAGACCAGCTCTATCTGTACACGATTAGTAGATTCTGATAGTTTAAAATGCTGGTGCTTCAGACATCTTAAATTATGCTAGAATGCAAGTCAGGATTTTCTTTGGGTCACTGTTATATAGTCCATCCAGCTTAAAAGTGGTTGACCGCTCAGACTTGATACAGATGAAATGCTTGGTATTGTTGAGGCATTTAAGAAACTGGCTTTTTTAAAAATTGTAATAACAGAGATCAGAACTGCCTACTTTAATGGTCACTGAACAGTATCCAGGTTCTAACACCAAACACGCAGCAAAATGTTCTAGAGGGTTAGGTAGCCACATCAGTACCAGAGTCCCTCTTAACTAAAACGAGGGTATCCTGCAGACTGCTATTAGTTTTAAAGCACTTCTAGTAGGTGTAGAGTTCATTCAGAATGGAATGAGGTGATAAGGTACCTGTTAAGCAAATAGGTAAATCTGAATGTTGCCACCGCTATGCCCAATTCAAATCCACATATGGATTTTAGCCGAATAGCATGTCAAAAAGCAAAAGCTGTCCATGTTTGTACTCTGAAGACAAATTATTCAGCTGATCTTACCAAACTAAATCCTTCTAGTTGCCAGATCTGCTTCCTGTGAATTTTAGGTAAGTAAAAAATAATGAGGTAAAAAGCTTAAGTGCTAATGTTTTTAAAACTAAAATGGGCACTATGTGACTAAATATAGCAAGATTCACAAAAGCAGCAGTAGATGTCACCCCAAGTTTTTTTTTTTTTAGAAGTGATCCTGTTATAGTTTAATTAAACATGGAGTCTCTACCTTAACTCCAAAGAGCAGAACATTCAAGATGGCTTAGTTTAAAAAGTTTATTTTAAAAGCATAAAATGAAGATGTTTCAGAGCTGGAAAGCAGCTCCAGTGATCTTGCTGGATGATTTAAAGTGTTCTTCCACCTGAGGTTGCCTTACCAGTGCTGTTATGTACAAATTCTCATCTGTTACATCCAAGAGGTTTTATAAGTAGGCTACATTTGTAGGAGACCACATTTGTTTGGGTTAGCTCAACAGCATCTGTAGAACATTGATGAAATAACAGCTAGTCCTGCTCCATCAACTAAAATAATGCACTTAGGACTTCCAAGTATATGCATAGTCTTTCATTTCTAGGAATCTTATAGAAGACTTCCCCAATGCTGAAATCCCAGCCAGTTGATCCAAGGTTTTAGGATGTAGTCCACATCTAGTGAGGTCTGTGCATAAAGTTTCCTGTGAAAAATGATTTGCAATAGGCATGTAACAATGAATTGTCCTCAGTACCCATTTCTCTGCCTATGAACAAAAAATGTTGAATAGCTGTAACTGTCAGAGGGACTCTAGTTTTAAAGCTATCAGTTTAGTAAAAGCCCTCTTCTGTTGTTGTAACTACCACCGCCCACAATGCCATTAACTAAACGTGATCATTACAGTGGCAGATAACTAGGCATTCGCTAATACATCAAGGGAAGAGCAGCTGTAATAAAAAGTATTAATCCTAAAGGAAGGGCTCTCTCTCACACTACTTGCCTTATGTAAGATCCTCTCCATGTCAAGACTAGTGTTAAACACTGCTGTGGGCTCATGGGTGTACAGTACAGCAGAAAAGGCTCCTTTTTGGGCAGATGTGAGCAGCATCGTCAATGAGTGCAGGGAATGAGGCATGACAGGGCCCATGATCTCCAAACTAAATATATCCTTATAACTTGAGTGAACCTGGGTTTTCACGTTTATACTTCGAGCCTAAATACAAGACAAAGCAAATTAGTATTTGATCCATCTCAACTGACATCTGCCCTTACATTTCAGTAATGGTTTGAATTCAGAGTGGTCAAAGCAATCTAGAGATATTACCTATTAATACCCCATTTGCCCTTATGAGGCATGGCTATTATTTGCTCTTTACAGACATTCCCACTCCCAGCTTATACCCATTATTAATATGCAGGAATTCTACTGTCTGGTACTGCAACTGCACATTCAAAAAAGGAGAGATTTAGGCAGGCAGAACAAACAAGTAATGGAACTAGGTTGCAACATCCTGATTAGTAGCACAATTGCAAGATGGGGCAAGGAGTTATTTCACATCCTACCTAAAATTAGGACTGTGGGAATTCCTCAAGATCAGACTAGAGCAGGGATGAACCAGATCCAGAGGGACTTTACCAGGGGCTGCTGCGGTGGGTCCTTCAGTCCTGCCTGGCCCAGGTGCCATCCAGCCTGTAGCGTATATCACTGTCCCCTGGGCTGCCTAGAAAGGCAGTCCAGCTGCAGTGCCCGGTCCTGGCTACTGCCCCTAACCCCATGGTACTGGTGAGGACCCTCACGTGCAGCCCTGACCCCTCTGCCCTGCACCTGCTCCAGACTTTCCTGCCCATGCTGAGCAGCAACAGTGGCCAGGCAGCAGCTGCTGTTCAACACAGGGGAAAAGCATCTCTTCCCCTTCACTGCTGCTAGGCACTTCTTGCTGCAGCTGCCCAAAGTCTGCACCCAGGCTGCCCTGCAGGTCCTCTGCATTGCAATCACTATCCTGCTGGGCAGCCCAGCTAGCAGTGCTGGTGACAGAGAAGCTTCAGGCTAGCCCAGGTACAGGTTCCAGGCAGCTGCTGCAAGAAGTACCCAGCAGCAGTGAAGGGGAGGGGGGGATGCTTTTCCCCCAACATGGAACAGCAGCTTCTGCTCAACGGCTGTTTGGCATGGACAGGTGGTCCAGACTGGGCATGGAGCAGGCTGGGTTTGGGGCTATACGTGCAGGTTCTGGCTGGTACACTCTGGCCAGGGTGAGTTCAGAGTGGGCCAGAGTGCTGTTGGTGGTGAGGAACTGTTGGGTGGGGGAATGCTGACTGGCCCACGGCAGCCCCCCAGAAATGCCTTTTGGCCCGCAGACAGACCCAAGTAATTGTCCGTCCCTAGACGGAATCTTCAGTTCTGTACAGTGGAAATGTTCAAGCGAACACCTGAACAACTGTATTAGGAATAGGGAAGGCTACATGTTTAACTCCTCATATCTCAAGGTTAGATTATACAACCAAATCTTCACCCCCAAAACTGACTTTCCAGCAGAGGTGATTTGCAATTAATATGCTAACCCAGTCGAGCTTTAACAGCATAAGTGTTAACCCTAGCAAACACCTACAAAGGAATGAGAATAACCTTGCTTACCCAAGTATATTAGACTTCAAGTAAAGAAACTTGTAACTTATTTTCTTCACTGAAAACTGATAGTTCAGTTGCACAGTGATTACTAAACCTTCTCCTACACTATTTACCTTGAGTGTTTGCATTGTTGCGCCTCGAAAAGCAACTGGGGACAGCAGCGTTGGTGGAAGCCCAGCTTGAGGACCTGCACTGGCCACTAAACTCTTGCAATTTATCAAGAAGTTTAATAAAGTGAATGCGTTTATTCCTCGCACCAATGCCAAGGATTCAGGTTTATGATCCATTTGCACCTCATGTTTTTCTTTACAACTATGTTGGTAAGTCAAAGAAAAAAAAAAAAATGTAGAAAGTTTATCATCAATACACTAGATCAAGAATAAAAGCCACATAAGAATTCACTGAAAAAAGCTGTTATGCTAATTTTAAGAGTTTTCTCTTGAAGAGCAATGAACTAAAAAATAGCTTAAACTTAACCCTTGACTTCACTGAAGCCAGTCTGTTTTCCAGTTTTAATACCTGCAATTATTTTCTTTGGCATCTCTAAGATGATCATATTGATCTGGTGTTGCTAAAATGGATTTGAGTCAATACAGTCACTGCTACAGATCAAGACTAGGTTCTCCCCTGCATTTAACCAGTTGAGGGAGTCTCGTCCTGAATTCGAATGCCAAGGCTGGGGATGGGGCGGGAGATCCCGTGCTGCCTGGCTGGGGCTCATGGGGCAGGGTAAGGAGAGCATGGGAGGAAACCTTGTGCAGGGGAGGGGAAGCACAGGGGATGTGGTGTAGGGAGTGCAATCCAGTGCATGGCCTGAAGGCAGCACCGAGGAGACTACATGGTATATGTGTGTATGTGGAAGGGTTGGGGAGTACAGTGCAGGGTTGAGGGTAGTGATAGGGAGACCACACAGAGGCAGGGGAGCTACTCCTGCTTCTTTGACTCTGACCTGCCAGGGATGGAGCTGGAGTTGCTATTGCTACCTGGTTGGGGTCAAAGCCAAAGCTGCTGCAGGGTAATCAGTAGCAGGGCGGGGAGGCAAGCGGCCAGGAAGGCAGGGAACAGAAGCGGCAAGTGCTAGGCAAAATTTTCCATGTACAGAATCTAATTACTGGGGGGGGGGCTCATCTTAAAGTCATCTTGGATTTGGTAAATACAGTATATAGCTCAAGGCTGTGCAACTTCTAAGCATCCAAGGGCTACACACATGGGCTGCAGCAACAGAAGCCATACTAATATGAGCCATGGGCCTCTAGACTGCACAGGCACCCCTTACATCCTGCTGACTCCCCTGGTGCTGCGGGCCACGCTGTGCCACCCCCTGGGTGGGGGCAGGAAGTGAAAGCTGGAGGAAGGAGGGGGAAGTCTAGAAACCCCAGCTACTCCTGCTGCTGCTGGAGAAGTTGGAGGGTAGGGAAGGGGGAGAGGGGGGCAAACCGGATGGGATTAACCCCTTGTGGGCCATATGCATCCTGCAGGCTGCCACTTAGATACCCCTGATATTGGAAACAGGCAAACAGTGCCCATATTTAAGAAAGGGAAAAAGGAGGATCCAGGGAACTACAGACTAGTCAGCCTCACCTCAGACCCTGGAAAAATCATGGAGCAGATCCTCAAAGAATCCATTTCTAAGTACTTGGAGAAGAAGAAGGTTATTAGGAAGTCAGCATGGATTCACCGAGGTCAAGTTATGCCTGACCGACCTGATTGCCTTTTATGATGAGATGACTGGCTTTGTGGATATGGGTTCAAAATTGGTCCTGGCCAGTTTTGTTCAATGTCATCATCTATGATCTAGAAGACGGCACAGAGTGCACCCTCACCAAGTCTGCAGATGACACTAAGCTGGGGAAAGTAGTAGATACACTGGAGGGTAGGGCTAGGATTCAGTGACCTAGACAAATTGGAGGACTGGGCCCAAAGGAATATCATGTCGTTCAACAAGGACAAGCGCAAACTCCCGCACTTAGGATGGAAGAATCCTAGGCACCGGTACAGGCTGGGATCCGACTGGCTGGGCAGCAACTCCGCAGAAAAGGACCTGGGGGGTCGCAGTGGACAATAAGCTCAATATGAGCCAGCAGTGTGCCCTTGTTGCCAAGAAGGCTAATGATACTGGGCTGAATTGGTAGAAGTGCTGCCAGCAGGTCAAGGGAAGTGATTATTCCTTTCTATTCAGCACTGGTGAGGCCACATCTGGTGTACTGTGTTCAGTTTTGGGCCCCCCACTACAGAAAGTATGTGGACAAATTAGATGTCCAGCAGAGGGCAACAAAAATGGTTCAGGGGCTAGGGGACAAGACTTATTAGGAGAGGCTGAGGGAACGGCTTATTTAGTCTGCAGAAGAGAAGACTGAGAGGGGATTTAATAGCAGCCTCCAACTATCTGAAAGGAGGTTCGAAGAGGATGGAGCTAGACTGTTCTCAATGGTGGCAGATGACAGAACAAGAAGCAACAGTCTCAAGTTGCAGCAAGGGAAGTTTAGATATTAGGAAAAACTCTCTCACTAGGAGGGTAGTAAGACACTGGAACAGGTTACCCACAGAGGTTGTGGAAACTCCATCCTTGGAGGTTTTTAAGACTCAGATAGACAAAGCTTTGGCTGGGATGATCTAGTTGGGGATGATTCTGCTTTGCGTAGGGGGTTGCACAAGAAGACCTCCTGAAGTCCCTTTCAACCCTAATTTTCTATGATTCTATATCCTGTATGTCCTGAAACTCAAGTAAAGGATACAGTTTGATAGAAATTGCAGCTGGTTTTTTAATCTTGTCTTGAACTCCCATCTCCTCAAGCCAAGAAAAACTTTCTTCATCATCACTCACTCCTTGTTCCCTAGGAAATACAGATTCAGGTTGTTAAGGTAGCAACAGTCCACATCAGCATTTACTAGATTAAAACATAAAGACTCTTCAGACAGATTACATACTCTTCATCTTCAGTGTGCTTGCCTACTTCAGAATTCTTGGCAACTTCTGCTTCCAAGTTTGTCTCAGAACTTCTCTGCTTTCGGTTTCTAGTTTCTTCTATGAAAGGTAAAGAAAATTCTATACCTTGAATGGAGAAAATATGCAAATAAATGACTATATACACACTTTGCATGCCAAATGAGTTTGGTAGGTTAGTCAAATGTAAGCTCCATCTTACCTTCATTTCTCATGGCTTCTCTTAAACCCCTGGTCGTGGGTGAAATGACTGCTGTGATACCATCACTTCCTGCAAGGCCAGCCGCACGAAACAGCACAGTAAATTGGTAGGTACAAACATAGAAGTAGGGACAAAGCTTCGCTTTGAGCAGGTTATACAGGGAAGTAAAACTGACGGACCTGCAAGTTGGTAAAATATAGTTACAGTGATTATTTCCATCTTTAATTCCTCCTTACCACCTGATAAATTCCTAGCTAGATCTCTAATAATGAAATGCTCTGTGAAACATTACTCATTTGTAGGAAACATGCACCTTGCCACAATCAAGTTTGAAAGGCAATACCTTTAACATTGACAGCCAGATTTTCAAGTGTGCTTGGCATCCAGCATAGAGGTCTCTTGATAACGTGGCCCTGAGGTGTGCTGAGACATCTACTCACAAGTGATTTAACATGTGTGAAATGGTAAAGGCAGCCTGCTAGTAAATTTTTAAAAGCTGCCAGACATGGAGGGGCATTCAGCACAATAAGGTGGCTTTAGTCTTAACCTCACACATCTAATGTGGCTAAAGAATTTGAGAGAGAAAAAACTTTAAAGGTCTGCTTTAAGTAGCCATCAGAAAGGGTACTTTATTAGTAATTACTGTTCTTCAAGTTTCCTCTGCACATTCCCTGGAGCTGTAGAACTCCCATGGGGGGCCTGTGGCAGGGTGGGGGGGGCAAGTGAGAAGCTGCAGGAATCTCACTGTCCAATTTAAAAGGGAGAATACCTGCAACTGTCTCAAATCCGTCTCTAAAGCTGTAGAAGCCTAACATACAGCACTCCAAGACAGAAGGAAAGATGGGTGGATAAGGACAGCGCACTGAAGAAGTTCTGCTGTTATATAGCCTCTTTTGCTCAGAGAGATTTGTAGATGTTAGGGTCGGAAGGGACCTCAATAGATCATCGAGTCCGACCCCCTGCATAGGCAGGAAAGAGTGCTGGGTCTAGATGACCCCAGCTAGATGCATATCCAACCTCCTCTTGAAGACCCCCAGGGTAGGGGAGAGCACCACCTCCCTTGGGAGCCCATTCCAGACCTTGGCCACTCTAACTGTGAAGAAGTTCTTCCTAATGTCCAGTCTAAATCTGCTCTCTGCTAGCTTGTGGCCATTATTTCTTGTAACCCCCGGGGGCGCCTTGGTGAATAAAACCTCACCAACTCCCTTCTGTGCCCCCGTGAGCTTTGGGCAGTCCCATGTGTGGGAGATTAATAACCAGTGGTTCATCAAAATACAAGTTCATAGGACAGGACTGCACCTACCTGGGCAAAGTGCAATGTTGAATCCAGGAAGCAGTATCTGGAAAGTATTTAGCAAACTTCTGCTATAAATCTCTCCTCCAAGGCAGCCTGCTTCAGGCCATGGACAGGCATTACATTTGTGCCTCTCCCCAGGACTATGCAAGATATGGAGGGCATTCCCCTGCAGTGTGAATCATCCCAGGGAGACCTGAGACAGCTTAAGTAAATGGTGCTGAAGCTCCCTGCTTCTTGCAGAATCCTGGGTCTCCCTGGACTGTGCAAAAAGGGGGGGGG